GCCCTTCTTTTCGTTCCTCAACGAGCTCCTTTCGATCTTTTCGAGAACAAGAAAACGAAAAATGCGATTAAGGTTATAAATATTACAAGTTTATTCATTAATTTTGGGATTCATATTTTTTTTTCTAATTTTCTTTATATCGTTTTTTCAGTTGTATGTGCGGCGCGTCTTTATTATGGAAAATTGCGAGGAATTAATGCCTGAGTATTTAAACTTCATCAAAGGAGTTGTAGATAGTGAAGACCTTCCTTTAAATATTTCGCGTGAAATGTTACAGCAGTCGAAAATTCTTAAAGTAATTCGTAAGAATTTAGTTAAGAAATGCTTGGAATTATTCGATGAAATTGCCGAAGATAAGGATAATTTTAAGAAATTCTATGAGCAATTCTCGAAGAATATCAAAGTGAGTTTTTTTTTTTGAAAGCATTAAAGACCTTATTAGGTTTATGGAAGGTTTATGTCTTGTCCTTTATTTCATTACAGCTTGGTATCCATGAAGATTCAACGAATCGTAAGAAACTGGCCGATTTTCTTCAGTTTTACACTTCTCATTCGTCAGAAGAGATGGTAACATTGAAGGAATACGTTGGCAGAATGAAGGAAGATCAGAAACAGATCTATTTCATAACTGGTGAATCGAAAGAAGCAGTTGCAACTTCATCATTCGTTGAGCGAGTAAAGCGCCGTGGTTATGAAGTTTGTTTATATACATATATAAATATATAATATATAAATTATGTAAATTTAAATTATGCAAATATATCTACGTAAATTTTTTCATAAATACGCATTCAATGTTCAGCATACAGCGTATACAATGTGTGTAACATAAACAAATTTGTGTAAAAAGATTTTTTCACTTGAAGTATCCAAAATGACCAATCTTTAAGGTAATTTATATGATTGATGCAATCGATGAATACTGTATGCAGCAACTGAAAGAATATGACGGCAAACAATTAGTTTCTGTGACAAAGGAAGGTTTAGAATTACCAGAAAGTGAAGAAGAAAAGAAAAAGTTCGAGGAGGATAAAGTAAAATATGAAAATTTGTGCAAAACCATGAAGGACATTTTGGATAAGAAGGTATATTTAGTTGCAAATTTTGTGTAAATTTTTATTGTTGATTGTTATGACGGAAATGCGTTTAAGGTGGAAAAAGTGGTGGTGTCGAACCGATTGGTATCGTCTCCATGTTGTATTGTTACTGCACAGTATGGTTGGACGGCAAATATGGAGCGTATCATGAAAGCTCAGGCTCTTCGCGATTCTTCAACTATGGGGTATATGGCTGCTAAAAAACATCTGGAAATCAATCCTGACCATTCAGTCATTAGGTATGGCTTTAAAAGTTTTACTCGCATTGGGAAATATTTGCGAAACTATGCTATTAAAATGAATATTCAGAACTCTTCGCGAGCGAGTTGAGGTTGATAAGCATGATAAGACCGTGAAAGATTTGGTCATTCTTTTGTTCGAAACTGCTCTACTTTCCTCTGGATTTACACTAGACGAGCCACAGGTGCATGCATCGCGCATTTATCGTATGATCAAAGTGGGTTTTTTTGTACTTTCATGTCTTGCATCTTGTAGTATACGCTCTCTTTTCCTTCTGAAATGAAGAAATTAATAATTTTGTGTTTCTTTTAGTTGGGGCTAGACATTGCGGATGATGAAGAGGATGAACCAGTCGCTTCTAGTTCCGGTGAAAAGGATGAGGCGATGCCAACACTGGAAGGAGCTGAGGAAGATGCTTCACGTATGGAAGAAGTTGATTGAATTGGAGAACGTGATTGATTCAGTTTTTATGTGATAGGGTAATCAATCCATTTTCCGAATTTATGTTCAAAATTTATTTGATCTCGATAAGAATTTGTACGCCGATGCATTGGTTTTCTTGTTATTTGTATGATGGTATTTTGTTTAAATAAATATTCGGTAGTAATGTTATGAGTTGCATTAAAGCATCCGCATGTTACTCTATACTCTATATTTGTGGATAAAGGTGGGCCGGTGATGATCTTTTGTAAATTGATCTTTCTGTCGCTGAGTTGAGATTTTTACTATTTTCGTTCTTCATGTTAGTAGTAAGGCTTTAATGTGTAAGTTCTGTAGTGCTTCAATTTGTAGTGGGATTATTGGTTTGTTTCCAGTTACGGTGATGTGTGCAACGGTGGGTAGAAGTCTTTTTCCCCGAGTATCGGCGGCAGATTCGGTTTTGTTTATATGTGACATGCAGGAAAAATTCAGGTTTGGCGGTTTGTTCAGTTTTGATTCAGGTTTGTGAGCACTTTATATAGTCTTAAAATAAAAAGTGCAGTGGAATATGAAAACATGGTTAAAGGAAACGAGTAGTTTGCCTTTGCATTGAAAAATCTTTAATAACTTTTTTAGATTGAATATTAAATACTTCCCGCAGATAACGACAGTTTGTCGACGAATGATTGAAGCTGCTAACATGCTTGGTATGAAAATTATTGCTACTGAACAGTATCCTCAGGGTAATTTTTTCTATTTCTCTTTCGTGGTTTAAAGCGTTTAACACTTGTTATTCTGGTTAGACTGTACTTACTGATTATTAGTAGAATCTTAAATTATACGGATGGGTGATTTGTTGTCATAAATGAATATTACAATAAACAATCGAGACAATAATGATGCATAGGTTCTGATTACTTGTTTAATGTTTTTTAAAAATATTTGGTACTAAGGAAACCAGTTTGAACGTTGGGCAGAGATTTTCAAGTAGATTTCTATTTTCTATGTAAGGCCTAAAAATTAGTACAGATTGTTTTTTCTGCAGGTTTGGGTCACACGGTGGAAGAATTGGAGCTACAGAAATACCAGATTCCAATATTTGAGAAGAAGAAGTTCACCATGTGTATTCAACCCGTTAATGAGATTCTCAGCTCTTCAACTAGATCAGTAATTTTATGTGGAATTGAAACTCACATTTGTATATTTCATACTGCACTCGATTTACTCGAAAAGAATATTGCTGTTCACGTTGTTGCAGACGCTGTTTCTTCGCGCTCCCAAGTCGATAGGTTAGCACTGTATTTATTAATTTTTCAAAAGTTTTGCCAAAATTAAGCTCGAAACTGTCACAGCGTCCTGTCTGAGTGTTCTTTTTTTTTGTTTTTCGTTTTTGTATTAATTTAAGTAAACTTTCGCTTTTCCGCTTTATTAAATGGATAAATAAATCAACAAATATCAATGGTTTTATCCATATTTTTGAATTTACACAAATTAGTCATTATCGATTTGTCGATTTTCGGTAATTTCTCTTTCATTTTTAAGGCTGTTTGGGCTGCGACAGATGGAGCGTGCTGGAGCGATATTAACAACTAGCGAATGCGTTATTTTGGGCCTTTTGAAAGGAGCTGATCATCCGAAGTTCCGGGAAGTTCAAAAAATCATCTTGGAACTCGCTCCAGATTCTGGCCTTTGCGCTATTTGATTTGTTGTTTTTCCTATAGAATTACCTTGTCTTTGCTTTCATCTAGGTTCTTTTTGTTAGTTATTTTAATTATGAGTACCATAAAAGTTTTGAAATTTTGATAAACAATAAAATCTGCCAATAAAAATCGATTTTTTTGTACCATTGATGCAACACTTGTGAATGCGACACTTTGCTTTATAAAACCACTTCAGCCAGGCTCCAAGGTTCATTACAAATATGAAAAATTTTCGAGGAATTATTGTTTATTTATTGCTCATTTTTTAAAATCTCAATTGTATACAATTCTTAGGTAAATTAACATGTGTGATAATATAAATGAAAATAAATTTTGCGTAAAAGAACATTAAAAGTTGAACTGAATGGAAGAAAATGTTTCACTTTCAATCGGTAAGGGACCACTTCTGTTTTAGTCGAAGGTCTTTGGTTACTGGAATCGTTTGAGATTTTTGTTTACTTTAGCTTGTTAGAAAGGATTTATTGCAGGTGTAATATTTACGAGTCATTTGGAAAGGAATTATGGTTGATCTATATTTTGCTAATTTGGGAGCGATTCTAGATGATTCAGGTGCGTCGAATCATGTATATCATCTGACTGAAATTTTGTTCTCAGTTATTATTCAATATTATATTTTTTGTTTTTGAAATACTTTATTCCACCAGTTTCTGCGTTCAATTGATGTGTTCAAAAATTTCCATGGTTTTTATTTTGTTTTTTTTTTGCTTTCAGATTAAATACATTTTGCATTTTTCTCCAACTTGGTTATCTTCCTATTATGTGGTTAGCTAGTTGAATAGTTCTATGAGATTTAATGCTTGACAAAATTTCGATTGATCCATCTTCGATTACGAGAAATGGAGAGAAAATTTTTTTATTGGCAGAATTCATAGTGATTCAATTTCATTCTTCTTTTTGAGATTTCTTCATTTCCTGCCTAAAAGACTATTCATTAACAAGAATCAAAATTGAATTTGGAAATTTCACAGGAAGTAGATTCGAATTCAACGTGCCAGTTCTTCGAACGCACAGGAAATATTTGTACAATTTACATACAATTATAAATACAATTTACGATGAAAAATTTTAGATTTCAAGAGCCGATTACGAGCAGTTTGGGTAAATATTGTGTTGTTTTAATGGCCTTTAAAATTCTCGAAACAATATTCGATAATGGTTTATGTTTATTGAATTAATATCAAACAAATCAAATTCATAGAATAAAATTAAGATAATCTCATTCTTTTGGAAAAGCATATCCAATTTTTCTTCAGTTTTTGTCATCATTCTGAAAATATTTTGGTTAGTTTACGTCGAACAGAGGTATTTATTCCTCTGTATTTTGCAGGTTGTACCGAGGATGATTTGTCAGATTTTTTCGAGGATTTGAGAGATGATGGTGGGACCGGATCGAATCATTCTTTTGTTATGTACGATAAGGACTCGACGTTAATTGCTATATGCCTCAATAGTATTGATGAAATTGGTGCAAAAGATGGAGTCCAAATTGATTCAATCCATTAAAAGATTTTGAGAGTGGTATTTTTAATATTAAAACATTTCCATCTTGGATTATGTGTATATTGAAATATACTTTTATTCTTATTAAGTTGTTGACGTTATAAAAATAAGTGAGAAATGTATAAAAATGCAGTTAATAATAAAAAATACAAATTTTTCTTCTCTTTTCTGCGAAATGATTATGATAAATTTAATTGGTAAAAAGGTAATAATTTTCAATGAAAATTGTGGGCATAAAAGTATTGTCTGAAAAGTTATTTTTATACCCTTACCTTCTTAGTTATTGATACCTTCTTAGTTAATGAACCACTTTTTGCTTGCCAAGGAATTTTCACTTAACTCATTTAAATAATGGGCACTTATGTAATTATGTAATTAGAAACCATATGAAATAATTAAGTTGATAGTTATAGATAGATAGAAACTATATAGAAAGTTATAGAGAAATCGCCAATGGTCGCTATCGAAGTATGAAGGCTAATTGCTTTCGTTGGGGAGTTGAATCGCGACAAAAAACGTTTTGTACCTGAATTTAATAAAGTTCTGAACATTGACGTGATTTCTGTCGGTCAAGGATATACGAGGTTACTTCATTTATCGACACGTTTTTTTGTTTTCTTTGAATTTAATTTCAAGGGCTTTATTAGTTATAAAAAACTTATTTTTGTAGCTAAACAAGCAAAATGAAGGAAGTTTCTTGATTTAAATTTTTTTATGTGGTCAGATAGAACTTTTATAGAGTTTAAAGTGTCATATAATTGTCGTATTTTCGACTAAGTTATTTTGATGAGAAAAAATTAAGCAGCATTTTAGGCGTGGACTAGGAACTCAATTAATTGAGCTTGCAATCGAAGAAGCTGTCGAAAATGATTGTGCCTTCATTGTTTCGGCAACAACTGCTGTTGCATCACAAAATTAATGGCTAAGGTTTTTTCCACTGGATTAAATTTAATGAAATTTCATTCATTAGGTTTCTTGTTTCTCTTTAAAATTTTTTTATTCTTTTTATTGAACAAAGGTGTGTTTTTATTTGTTTTTGCAGGTCTAAGAAAGAGAAAGCAGAAAATGAGATGGTTGGTGTGTGCTAGTCAGCGTAACTTTGCTCTTTCATAGTAATCTTGTAGTTATTTGATAGAAGTAACTAATTACTTGGCACTTTTATTGTTTTTGTGACTTACATATACAGATTTCTCTGAGAGCGCTTACCATAGTTACCATTGGTAACTACTGGCTTGTTGGACCAGGGAGTCACTCGATAATAGAAGTACAGGCGAACCGCCAGCATCAACCAAATTATTGAAAGATTTATTCCTGCCGGGAATAGAACCTCAGTATCCGCTTCAAAATGGCAGGGCCATTCTAGTGCTTTGCTTTCATCTTTCGACGACACTGTCACCCGACGAAGTGTGGTGCCGAATTCGAACCCTCGATTCACAGCGGCATTCAAACCGCCACTAAATCACTGATCACTGACCTTTTTTTTTATAAATTTCTCTTATCAGTTATTCCTAAAATTTCCTAAAATTGAGAAAAATTCTAGATGGAAACAATATTGAAACAGTCAACTGCTGAAACTTTTTTTGCAGTTTTAAAGGCTTTTTTTACATCAGCTAGGCTTCGAATGCGTTGCGAATTGCTATTTTCTTGTTTTCGAATTGATTATGCTCCCGTTTTTTCGAATCTTAATGATGGAGGTCGCAGCAACAAATTGATGCTCCGAAGAAACATATGAAACTTATCAGAAGAATTGATTTTAATGATTTTTTTAATTCTCTGGAATGGTCGCATAAAAATCTTTATCCAATAATCATATGGTTTCTTAATCTTTTCTTAATTCTTAATGAAATACACTGTTCGGACGATTCGGATCTTACGATCATCGTTTTATTCGACCATAGAAATCGAGCGAAATAAAATTTTATATGCTCAACTTGCGGCATTTGCTGTTAAGTTACTTTTTAATTAAGTTACCTTGTTAAAATCTAATTGTGACCTCGAATAGTATTGTGGAGAATGTTGGTTTCGAGAGAAAATTTCAGTCTTTCTGGAAATTCTTTGACCAATTGTCTAACGATTATATTATATAAAGCATTTGGTTAAAATTTCCATATTAAATCAATTTATCATTCAACTCGGTAGCCTTTTTAAATTACGTTGGGTTGCAGATATTCATAGGCAAAAAATGTTGGTTCCCATATCGGTAAAAATGCTTTTTGGAGAACTCGGCTTTTCCTCACATTTGGCGGTTCAACCTAGAAAATTTAACCTGTTTTGTCCTATAAGTCTTTTTCACAGTTTTTAAACTAGTTTTTCAAGGATAACTATTTTTGGTACAGTTGTTTCAAATCCTATTTAGTATTGGGCCTCTTTTTGTTAAATATTTGTCGTATTTTCGTCCACTGCTTCTATAAGCCAGTGGCGATTTAAGGGCCTTCGCTTTTTGCCTAGTCAGCTTATCTATCATTTTTAATTTAAAATAGATGTAAAGGCGGTGTTTTAAATCGAAATCGAAGAAGTGGAAGATTGTTGAATCAATAGTTACAGTTGGTTCGATTAGTTTGGTGTTACAAACAGATTCTAAATTTTTCATTCTAAATTTTTATTTATTCCTCGTTTTTGATGTGTATGGAGAAAATTTTTTTATTTTGTTTTCGTGTCCATCGATTAGTTTTGCAACGTATTCAGATCAGTGGTGACATTAAAAAATATCAGTGGCAATATTTAAGCATAAATCAGTTCATAGTTTATGAGATTTTTTTGGACTTATTTTTTAGGAAAATGTAGATGCTTTTTGCTAATTTTGCATTTATGAAACGAGAGATTGGTGATGACGCAAAATTAGAAATGGTGGAGTGAGTATCGTGTTGTTTCGACTATGCATCATGGGTTTGATTTTCCCGATAGAAAAAAACCTCTCGTTAAAGGTAAAATCGGAGTGGCCAATCTTCTGTCCTCGAATGGCTGTTGATAGATCTAATTCATTCCAGTAGCCTATGAAAACAGTCAAGTTAAAAATGCTATTAAAAGAAGATAATGAATAGGAGTCCATTCCGCTTCCAGAATTTCGGTATATTCGGTAGGTTTTCACAGAAAAGCTTATTAATTAAGCTTATCTTTTAATTATTTAAGCAATCCGTTAGAAATGGAAGAAATGGCCAGTAGAAAAAGGTAAAAAGAAGTTTATGATAAACTGGTTGATATTTATAATTTGTTTATTAAAACCGCAATTTTCACAAATAATTAGAACGCTTCAAAACAATAGATGCCTTAGAATGACGAAAATTTAATAAAATTTTGGTCCGTTAAAAATTTGATCGATGTGCTCGCCTATTGGCGAAAAAATGAAACGTCCACATGAGTAAAAATCATCGCTGAAGAAATACGACAATGAAATGGAAGATACTGATGAAGGACTGAAGATAAGATAAAATTACAGAAGCGAAACGATATTATGCTGAATTTGATAAATATGAAGTGAAAAAATATTTTAAGTGGGCACAGTGGTTTTCTCAGTTTGGTTGTCGATGAATTATCAATTGATTATTTCGACAGTAATTTTTAAATGAACTTTTCATAAAATATCTCAATTAAATTGCTTTAAATCACTGAAGCTTTTGAATTTTCTCTTATAAAGTATTTTTTTAATGATTTTCATCAAAGTTTGCCAGCCAATGATTAGCGTTCACCATTTTTGCTTAGACTGGCTCCACTGGTTATCATTTGCATGGGACGCTTTTTAAGAAAATCAATCGGTGATGGACATAAAATTGAATCTCTAGTGCATCCGGTTTTTTCAATGACAGATTTATTCCAGCCGAAATCAGAAACCGAAAGGTCAGAAATGACATTTGAAATAACCACTCGGGCATACCTACTTATAGTCAGTCCATCGATCAATTTATTTATCAAATTATTAGAGGAAATGAGTCTTGACCATCTGAGCAGTCTAGATCAAACATTTGATACTTAGCCCATTTAGCATTTCCTAATACCATTGACCATTTCTAATTTGGTTGAAGCCATTATATATAAAGGTGAGACTGTTGTGCCAGAGAACCACTTGGAGATATAAAGTACAAGTGGAACCGGATTTCACTTATAGTAACAAGTCCACTTCCATTTAGAGGCAAAAATCGAACCCATTATATATCAATCATAAATCATTTGATCATTTGACAATCCTTCATTTCAACTCATCACGTTAATTTGTGCATTAAAATTATAAATAACTTGAAAAAATTCTCCGTGAAACTGTATTATATATCAAAATGTGCAAAAACTTAATATATAATAACTTTAATAAAAATTATATAATAACTTTTATAAAAATTTGCATATCAAAAAATACATTTAGGATAAAATTAAGCATTGAAAAAGAACGCTAATTGAGCCAATATTATAAACATATAGTCGAACTTCATACGATATTATTTTTTTTAATGTACAAATGAAAATAGGTAATTAGATAGCATTAGGTGGAAATATGGTAAAAAGCATCATAGAAGTTCTGCTGAACCGCTTAGGATTTTCTTCAGTGGTAGATCTATTTCTTTGTGAATCATGGGTCCTGAGCCGTAGTGCTGGAAACAATCGTCCATGCGACAGTCACCCTCTTGGCTACTTTGCTCTTTTTTGTAACTGTATTTAATTCATTAGAATCTACTGCTTGAAGTTTGGCGATTGCGAATTTCAGAAAATATATTTCTGAGGTGACTATTCAAAAAATATTTGTTTTCTTCATAACATCGAATGCTTTGTATTTCTGTTCGGATGTTTGTAAAATTTTCATCATTCTTATTTATCATTCTTTGATTATTTGTGCAAAAACTTTGAAAAACTTTCGAAATCAAATGAGCTAGTTAATGGATGATTTATTCATCAGTTTACCTTAACTAAGCCAAGTGGGGAAAGTCGAATGGTGTATAGTGTTTTGTTTGTAGGCAAACGGGATTTATGCACACCTGTCGTTGGAAGTGGAATCCAGGTGAAAAAATACTTCCACCATTATCCTCGAGTGGCTTTCTGCAGAAACTCTTGTACCAGTGTAGCCAGCAGTGGCTTCTACTAGATGAAAAAAGAAAAATGCTAAAGAAATCAAAGAAAACTAAAATGGCAATATTTAAAAAATTAAAAATAATTAATATTAATAATTTTCCTCACTAATATTGATAATTTTTATTTTTTGAAGCCATGTATTATGTAAAGTATAAATATTTACAATTTGTTTAATTAGTTTAATTAGTTTACTTTGAAATATTAGCTTCTATAGCCGCAGCGTGGCTTCCACAGAGCATGCACAGAATACACTAATCATGGTTTATGCTTATTTCTAATTTTTATTTCTAAAAGTTCGAAATATTTAGCAACCTTTGATTTCGCTTTATCGTACTAAGGAGTTTTTATTTTCATCCTTCTTTCACTTCTGTAAAATTGTTAGCTTCTAAATAATTCTTTCTTTATCGTCAAAAAGAATTCTTTATCGTCAAAAAATCAAAAGAACATTTCTTTTATACTCATTCTTACGGATTTATTTATCTCTAAAAGAGATTGGTGTAAATCATTTTACAATTTGAAAAATCGTCTTCATGATAAAATTCGCGAGTCATGAAGAAGAAAGTTTTTTAGCTTCCGTTCGTATCTGAATTATACGTGTTGTTATAAAAGGCTTTTCTGTACTATTTGGAAGCAAGGTAGTCAAATGGTTGTTCTCCAGTTCATCGTTCGGATTTGAATTCCATCTATGGCAAAAACCAACCTGTAATTAAGAAATCTGGATGGTGCTTGAAACCCATTTGTATTTCCCTGATTTCCTGAGAAAATTTTTTTATCCCACTAACAGCCACTAGTATGAGCCTACTAGGAATGGTGAACGTTATCCACTTACTTTTTGGCTTATTTGCAGATTCTATTTCATTTTGT